ACATTTCTTTCTTGTGAAATTTGGTATCTTTTGAGTCTTTTTGTTGAGGGTAGCTTGTGTGTGACTGTACAGACTGGTTTATAGGCTGTGATAGAAACTGCCACATACTGGCACTCTGTGCCCTGAGATACAAGTTCCTTCCAGTATCTGTGTACTGAGAAAGGCTTGGATCAAGATAATGGAAAAATAAGACATTAACTCATTTGTTTTACTTGACTTTAACATGTATTACATTATATGTCAATAAAAATCTTATACAGTTTTATCCTATGAGTCGTGCTGATATGATTTCGCATCTTTTTAAAGCTGTACTGTATATAGATGCATATTTTATATATGTTATGTTTAATATAAAATCTCATATATTTAATATGCAATATTTTTACGTAAGTGTAAACTGCATAAGTGTGTGTGTTAATTCTGTAGTGACTGTAAACTAGAAGAGCAATGTGTAGCAAGAAAAACTTTGCCAACTATCTTTAAAAAAAGAAATTATATTTACACAGTCATTTCACCCCTCCCAGTCTATATTGATTGTTTTGCTACTGCTAATTTTAAATCCTAAGCATTAAGTTTTGATTTTCTTATATGTACATCAAGCATTTAAACTGAGTAAGTGGCAAATTCTTTTGTAATTTTATTAAGTCTCATTTGTGTGAAGAGACCAGCTACTGAAGGTGATTTGCACATGTTAATAGATTATATGCTGTAGCAGAATGCTGCTTTATATTGCTACTCCAACGGCGACTATTTCAAATATAGTTATTAGTAGCTACAATATCACCTGGTTTAAAAAATTATCAAAAGAAGGTCATGCTATTTACTCCCATATTTATTATTCTTATTGAAAATTGCTAGACCTAATTCTATTGGTTTCCTTCCTGATTGAAAACATTTGAACCTAGAAAGCACAGTATTTCTTAAGACATTTATAACTATTCATCATGGATATTAAAATTACAATCACCCTGCATTGTGTGAGCAATGTTTAAAAAAAAACTCTTTACACATATGGTAAGCGGGTGACCAATGCTATCCAGGCTTGAAGATGCTGAATGGTCTTATAACTTGTATTTGAAATTTTGATGTGTATTGCATTCGCTACTGAATATCAAGAATACATTTTTTTCACTCGTATAGAGTAAATTTAAAATGGGGTCTTTTGTAGAAGCACCCATCCTGTTTAGAGTGATATAACAGATGCTGAATGTTCACATATCAAACAAAATGCCAGCTTTCTGTAGAAAAGAGGTGTCAAAAAGTTTCTTTGTACCTTTAACGCATGTGATTATGTAGTACAAAATGCAGAGTTTGTAAAATTTCTTGAATATACAGGCAAAAAAATGAATAATTCAAAACATCTCATAAGTTCTACATTCTATTGTCCCTTTCTAATACTGGCAGAAGATAGGAGTGCACTCCCAATAGAGCTGAATTTGCACAAGTTACACCTCTGGAAATGCCAGATGGTCTATGGTCTACTTTTGAGAGCTGTCACATATGTAAAGATTTGAAAAAAGAAAGACAGCTGAATGAGAGCAGCAGATCATTAAAGAGAGAGTGAGGGTCCCTAGACATCACTTGTGTTTTAAGAAGCATTGTGTCGTTCTCATATTAGCGTGCCTTTTTTTTTTTAAAGCCATATACAACTTCTACACAATAAGGAAAAGAATCTGTTCAGTGCCAGATACTTGTGGCTTAATCAGCCAGACATTTTTACTGTTTATTCAAAAATAAAATCACATTGCCTACTTACAGTTTTAAGTGTAATTTTAGCATAACGTTGAAATCATATCCATTAAAATTGATCAACACAGTTAAATTTAATTTCTTTTGAGATAACTGTTATAACTAGGACTTACCTAGTCTTGATTTCACTTATTTCACACATCTGGCAAAATCAACTAAAAATTGTTTTCATGTTAAAACATTGAACGAAGAGATAATCCATGGTTACCTGACCATAATACAAACCACAATAAAAATAATTAGGTGACACTGAAACCAAAACAATGTACTCTCATTTTTCTTTCAACAGAAGTAGATATTGTTTTGAGGATTCGAATGTGGATAAATCATTAAGGATATTTTGCACTATCACTCCAGCCAAACCCAGTAATTTTCAGAATCAATTTTGATCTTAGGAAAAGGTCAGATCTGTCAATTTTAGAACTTGGTAGCAGGTCACTGTTGTCGTTCACACTTTTGCTTTTATTTGTTGAGAATCTTTAACTATTAAATGGTAATTTTAAATTTATATTAAACTATGGAATACAGCTGGACAATTTTGATCAATAAAGCATCTTCGAAACACTGGTCAGTGATGTTTTGACTTCACCAAGCACCCTGATTGCTTGAACTATTCTTTTTAGAGAAAAACTGATCTAAAACATTGCATGTATTTGGAGAGACTACTGAAAAGTACTTTGGAAAGAACACCATGAAGTATTAAGTTTAACTGTCTTCTTTGGGATCTTTTAAGTGCATATGCATAACTAGCTTTAGGCTCAATAACAGTCATCAGGATGTCACCCTGATACAAGAAATTACAAGAGCAGCAAATTGAATCAAGCTATTGCATATCCACAGGAAATAAATCTCCATTTTTAGATGCCTTAATTGTAGATTTTAGTCATGAGAAAGGATATATATATATTTGCTAAACAGAGAAATAACTTTTTCTCTTGTTTCTTTTTCATTCAAACTTAGGAGAAAAATATACTGCTACATTTTATTGTCATTATTTTGGGCCTCTGAGAAAATTTCTTTTTAGACAATCATTCTCTTTTTTATCACTATAGTATTGAAAAACTATAAGATCACTTCATATGTAAGTTTTACAAATCAGATGTTAATGTTAATTAAGTTAGTATAAAAAGACACTGTTAAAAATGAATCTTGTTTTTATTGAAACATGCAGACTGGTTAGTAGAAAATTTGATTCATTGTTTTTCTTCCTGATACATGAATCAAGAACTGAAGTAAACAATGGTGTTCTATTCATTCACATAACTTTTTGTCAGAAATATTACCAAGCCTTATCTAGTCCTTAACTTATCAATAGTCAATCCCTTTTGGAAATTAATCAACACCATATATAACTGCAAAAGCCTTGCATGCAGTATATTTTCTACTGGATAGCTTTTCATACAATTTTTAGTTTCCAGGTCAAAGAGTTTATAATAGTCATGTAATTTAGATTTTATAATTGATTATAATCTTAAACTAAAAGTGTAGTTTAAGATTTTGAAATTACAAGAAATTTTCACACTTTCTGATGAGAATTTAATTTATATGCCTATGTCCTAGCTGTGATGGACTCAACAAGAATTTACCAAAACTAGTGTTTTCAGAAATACTCAGCAATACAAATGATGAAAATTCCCCATGCTTGTTTTATGATTTGTTGTTCAAAGAATCAAGTTGATATGTTTTTCTTAGTATCATGCTATTAAAACAGCCTCCTACATATTTTCACTTTGAAGTTACTCTTTTTGTGTGTTGACTTTTAAAAACTTGGAGGTCATTTGCAGGAGGTATATGCATATGTACGTGCACACACGTTCACAATTGGGAGTCTATTGGTCCGTTGGTTATGTCTATGTCTGGTCAAATGCCACACTGCTTTAGTCACTGTCATTTTATAATAAGGTTACATATCTAATATGTACATCACCCTCCTTTTCTACCTTAAAATTTCCTCTGTGACCCTTGATAATCCTTCTTTATTTTTGGATTGACTTTGCATGTTCCACAAATAAGGCAGTTGAAAATGGCAATTGAGTTAATGAAATAAACAATAAAATCAATGCATCAACATAATTAATATATTTATACACTCCATTTACCTTGGCTTCTTTATGATTTTCAGTAATGTTAAGTTTTTGCAATAAAACATATCTGCCTATCTTTGCTTAGTTTAATTTTGACTATTTACCAGAACCATTTTGGAAAGGCATTTGTTTTCTTGTTTCACTCTTCTCTCTCTCTCTCTCTCTCTCTCTCTCTCTCTCTCTCTCTCTCTTTCTCTCTTTTGCTTTATAAAGAAACTTTCTTATATATTTGTTGATTTTTTTGGAATATTGCTTTTTTCATTGTTTATCATCTGCAAATCTTGACAAATCCTTAATTCTTGAAAATTTATAATCTTTTAGACTTTCCTAAAATATCTAAATCTGTGTACAGTGGAACATTCTGTTTTTTTCTTTCCAGAATTAGACCTGTTTTTTTTCTTTTTCTTTCCTTATTGTTTTGTGTAAGAAGGGTGAAGGTGTGAGCACCCTCTGGCTGTCTGCGCCCCAAATAGGAGCACCAGAAAGGATGTTTAGTTTGTATAGCTATGTTATGTCAGAATTAAACCATTCTCTTATTTTCCTAAGTTATTTATTTTAAAAATAAAGAGTAAATATAGAAAAGATTTTCTTCTGCAAGATTCATAAAAAAGAAAACTGTATTCCTTTTCATTATCCAACTTTTACTCCTTTAATTAATTGCTCTGTTTATTTTATTTTTTTCTTTTTGGTACTGGGGATCAAACTCAGAACCTTACACTTGCCGGGCAGATGCTGATGCCGCTGAGCTAAATCCCCTGCCTCATTCTGTTCATTTTAAAAGCTGTGCCAATATCATTATTAGAAGTGTTAGGATAATATTGGTGAGGATACAGCACCCAGAAGAGGTCTCAAAGAGTCTAGAAAAATAATCAACTTTTGCTGAATAACTGTTGAATTATTCTTCAAATTTTCCTTTAAAAACACCAAAAGTAGTTTTTCTGCCCTACTTTTTATATCTTTGTATAAAATGACTATTAATAATTCTGTTCCTGTGTTTCGTTTTAATGACTTTGTTTCCTTTCTTCCAGCTTCTCTCTTTCTCTTCTTTTCCTCTTCAATTTTAGTATCAGGAATGAAATTTTAAATCTGTTATTGAATGTACTTTCATTGTTGTAAAAAAGTTCCTTTTTTTTTTAACTGGATGAACTTTTCTTGTTTTTCCTTTAGCCCAACCTCAGCGCTTGCCTCTGCTGCAGACTTCAGCGCAGGAACCTGGTGAAGAGGAAATAGGCAAGATAAAGAAAGGAGGCCATAAGGGTCTGAGTAACGCCAATGGAATTCACCACCCCGGGGCCAGACGTGCCTCTGCAGATAATCACAAACTTTCAGCTCCTGTTTCTCAAAAGATGCATAGAAAAATTCAGTCCAGCTTATCTGTAAATAACGATGTCAGTAAGAAGAGCAGAGTAAATGCTGTCTTTTCCCAAAAGACAGGCTCTTCACCTTCACCGGAAGGTAAGTGTGAGAGATACGCATATTGTATTTGACTGGATATAAAAATCACATTCACATAATAATTTGATCAAGCAAACAAACAGAAATTTTGGTAAAATGATAACCTCTCCAAAGGAAAGTACAAAAAACAGAAAAGAAAAATTTTGAAGCTGACAGCCTGCTTTTTGCTTTATTGTCTTCCAGAGTGAATGGTTACTACTTTAAAAACTGTTATACCTTTCCAATGCCACATTTTAAAATATGAATATAAAATTTTAGTGGTGTCTGTGAGCTCATGTCCTTTTTTCCCTCCTCAATGCACTATGTTATTCTGTACTACAGATAAGATGACTTGCAGGTAGTTTTCTCTTTCAAATCAATTCCTAAATATGCAAGGTTCAAATGAGAAAACGGTAGGGGAACTGTGTAGTTCTTGCCAGGTAATGTCTGTTGCTCACGGACCATCCTCTTCCAAGCTGTGCGCTGCCTCTGTTGCACCCACACCCACTGCTGCCCTCTTCCGGCCTCTCTGTGCTCTCCATCCCTCCCTTGGTTGTGCTCTCTGACCTCTGGGAAGCCAGTTATTACCAGATTGCTGCTTTTCCCTCATCCTGCCATTGACAAAGTAAAAGACTAGTTAAGTATTGTGAACCTTAGAAAAGATTTTCCTTCTTATAAAACAAAGCTGTATGGTGGCAGACAACCTGCAGATTCTTTTTTATTGTGTCATATTAAAGAAAAAAATTTCCTCCTATTGTTAAGGTTCCAGCTGTTTCCCGTCATGTCCTTATCTGAGAGTCCTTTACTCTTCCTCTCTATACCTGTTACTAGTTCTTGTGAATTTAAAACTTTGAGGTGTGTGTGTATGTGTGCATGTATTGAATCTTATACCCTTTATTTATCCATTTTAATTGTCAAGGAATCTTACATAAAGGAGTTTCTGTGGGATGCCTCTGTGTAGTTGGCCATGTCCATTCATAAGAGATAAATTGAGTTGTAAATAGGAAATTGTAGTGAGAGTTACCAGTGATGAGTAGGAGAAAGGATATTACGTTTTGGCTACAGGTGTCTTAAATTCAACTGAGGCAAAGTGTTAGGTTGATCAAATGATATGATAATAAATGGTCTGCATAGTTCCAGGTCACTGACACTACTTTCCAAACTAATTAGGTTGAAAGGCACATGATTGACGTTTTAAAATGAGTTTGACATGTAAGCTGCATGGTCATTTCTGAAGTGTAGGTAGGCTGTTAACTAAACTGACTCTCCAAGGAGTTGAGGAGGCAATGTAATTTTCTTTGGAAGATCTTCACTTCTAGATGACTGGGTGAAATAATTGAATACAATTGAAATTTACTTGTTTTATACATTTGAATTTACTAATAATGCCCCAACTTTTATTTTCCATTTGGTATTTACTTATTTTAGTATTAAAGCATGGCAACATTTACATATGACTCTGAAGTAGCATGTAGAATTTTTCATCATTGCTTTTAGTCACATCTGAATTTATTTCTAATGTAAGAATGCAGTTTTATAAGTAACATAGGAAGAAGATGGAAAACCAGCATTACCTTGTGAAATATAGTTTAATTTTCCCCTTCCTCTTTTCTATCCATTTTTTAGTCTCCTGTTCTTTTCTTCTTCTCTCCCATCTCCATTCCTACTTGTGACTAACCACAAAGACCTCCATTGAGGGACACCTCATAATCTGTTCTTGCAACAAAATAACATTTCAGATTCATTTGCAAGCATGAAGAGTATGAAACAGAAATGAACAGATCTAATTACATTCTATGAAATCCTATCTGTATCTTCTCTTTTAGTCTGCAGAACTTAGAAAATTCTGGGATTCTTTTGTGACTATTTGAATCTAGATTAAAATTTCCTTGTCCTAATTCATATTCTGTCAGTGAATGTCTTCATGGTACTTGCTACTATTTAAGGTTTGTGCCTTAATATTTTGTTATTTCTTCTGATTTTTCAATTTCTAAGTTGTTTATTCTTTGGTAATGTGTTGTGGAAGTCTGCCCTGCACAAAAAATCCAACAAGGCAAACAAACAAATTCACTGAACTAATAGATGATAAATTAAAAGGATAGTATCAGCTAACCTAGGGACATTTTTTCTGGGCCTGCTATAAGATTTAGAGTTTTGATTAGACTGTTGAAAGTTAGGTTTGACTTTGAGATTGTATGATTCTTCATGATTTGCTGTGTGAATAAAAATGGATAGAAATTATTTTTCAAAAAAGTACTAACAGTGGGAACATTTTAAAAATGGTTAAACTTTTCTTAGTTTTATATTTTTCTGTTTCACAGTTTTTAATATTTTTCATCAACTGTACCTGCTCTCATGGTGACAAATGAAAAAACAAGTCACAAAATTATACTATTTTGAAAGCCTCCAAAGCCCGCTTTAATTGTCTGTTATTTGTGGTTGCATGGTGCTTTAGATTGTGATTTTTGTAACATCAGCAATTTGCAGGACATCTTTCTGGTTCTCATGATGGAATTAAATATTTAATTATTTTACAGTGATTCATTAAGAGCACTAAGGGTCCTTGCTGATCAAATGTGGGAAACATTGTTAAATGGTGGGCTCATTTGAGGACTGAAGCAGGCATATAATCGAGTCTGGGGACCAGTGAGATAGTTTAATGTTTCTTAACTGTAGGTTATTAAGGTCCAAGTGCAAATGGGCAGGTCCTCCTTTAGACTCCCATGGGCCTTTTTAAACTGCATCCATTTGAGTGGCCTCGATTTATTAGAAACTCTTCTACCTACTTCAGTCATGTGGACTCATTTAATTCTTTCGGAAATAGTGAACTGTGAACACTGAAATAATATTTTCTCAGAAAAAGGTAATTTACTGTCCATTCCACTGTCCATTCCACTGTAGCATCAGATGCTAATGGTGATACACTGTGGCTCAGGCTGGGTTTGTCTTAGTAACAGTCGCTTTCTTAAAGCTCTTCCTGTGAAAATTTTAAAAACAACTCACACCTGTGCTCTGTGATTGTTTTTGTTTCCTACTAAATTTTGAATTCCTGCAAATCCTAAACTGGGTCTGAGCCTTTTTTTTTTTTTTAATTTTTAATTTACAGCAGCATCCAGCTTTATGGCTTCACAGAATTTCCCATGAGTTAATATATGATATAGTGCTTTATTCTAAGATACTAATCCACTGTATCTTGTCCTTTTTTAAAAACCAGCACTGGAAAATAAAATATGTGCTCATATTCCCTGAAATATATTCTTTTCAAAAGTTCTCTTTTTGCAACAGAGGGAAAAATACTGTTCATCTTACTTAAAGCTTATTAAATTAGTAGACTTCTAGTTGTTTTGTATAATTAAATATTTTCATACATAGTTAAATGTTCTGATTGCATCACCCAGGTGGAGAGTTTTAAAACTAAATATGTAAGATTCTTGACCTTTGAAATAATTGTACTATAATTTTGTATCATATAATATTCAGATTGCCAAGGGTTTTCATTAGACGCTAAGACACTTTTCTTATCATAGAAATGGCAAACTTTAACCTGATTTGGTTATTGCAGTTATAGCTCTATATTGTAAAAAATGAAGTCTCCATGAAAATGCTTTTAAAGAAATTGAATAATTTTCAGAAGTATTTGGTAGTTAATTTATACTCCATATTTAATATTCTAGATTTAATCTTTATTGAGAAGTACACATCTCATATTAGCCTTTTACTGAACACAAAGGCTGAAGGAGACATTGAAAAGCATTGTGTACATATGGTAATCAGGGTTGTTTCAGTTTTAATCACATAGAGGCAGTTTGCCTAATGGTTAGAGCACAGACTCTGGACCCATTATACTTGGATTCACCTATTGCTGTGTTAATATCCAGCAATTTATCACTGGCCTGGTTACTTAACCTCTTGTGCTTCAGTGTCTTATCTTTCAAATGAGGATATTATTAGTTCTTACTTCATAGGATTGTTGTGAAGAAGAATTGAGCTGATGCTAGGTAGTGGTTAGAACACAGCCCGACCCTGCTGTTATATTGAATACGTCTTAGCTTGGATGATAATCATCATTGTTGAAGAACACAGAAAGGTCAGCAATGTTTGCTTTCTGTAACACCAATGACTGAAAGGGACATGAAAGACAAGGACAAGTTGAGTTACTAGTTTTACAGCCGAGGAAGGCATGCAGGGCTGAAGGAGCTTTATGAAGTAATATGTTGTTCACAGAACCATGTAGAGTTTATTTGCTGTTGGCTGAGAGAAGGATTTAGGAGGGAAGAGACTGGAAGGCTAGGGAAGGACTAACCCATGGGCATCTTGCAATGCCTTGGTCTTCTAAAGATACAGCCCAGATCTATGTGACTTCTCTGCAGGATGTCACCTGACATCCTCTATATTTGTTTTTGGAAAAGAAAATATGTTTTCTTTCCTTTCCTTCTCACTTACAGCAGATACTACAATATATTGAGAACCTACACTCTGAATGCCTTTATGGTATTCTTTTTGTACTTTAGCAATGAATCATTTCATAAAAAAAGAAAAGGGTGTATTGATTTCAGACTTGATGAGCTTGCAGTGCTAATAAATTCCTGTGGAAGCTTTTGAACCAATTTTAACCTAGTCTTTATTTTACTGTTTCTTTACTCTTTTAGATTCTGGCCTCCGTGATCTTCCTCCATCTGCCTTTAGGTTCTTCTTCTTCTCTTTTTAATGTTCTCCTCTTGTATTCATAGCGATGCTATTTTCCACGTACACCAGCCCATTCCTGCTTGGAGGAGTGCACAGCCACATCCTCCACAGACTGCATCAGATTTTCTCTTTTTCCACACGTACACATCCCAGTATCCTAAAACCAGGAAAAATATCTTCAAAGGTAAAAGTGATGCTGAGCATTCTTTCTTCCCACAGTGTTATGAAATCTCATTCTCATGTTTTTCCCCACAGAAAAACTGAGTTTTGCCTATAGAAAGCAGGATTTTGCTGGAAAGATAATGATTGGACTTCATGGTATGACCACGGTGTTA